CGGAGGGCACGGAGAAAAAAGACAAAATAATTGCGCGCAGAACCGTGAGCATTGCACGTAATTTTTTTTCTTTCTGCGGAACCATCCTGCCTGACCCGTGGTCGTATTGGAAGCTGCCGCTGCGGATTAGAGGCCTCGTGCGTACGATGAGCTCCTGCCAGTCTACTGAGGTCAAGTGCGTCATTAACGCTGCCTGCCGATTAACGGTCCCGGAAGGCGGTGGTCGAAGGTGGGGCAGTGGCACAGCGGTTTGCGCAGCGCGCTTGTAAGTTAGGGCCACCCGAGTTTGATTCCTGGCCATGGCCAACAACGACTTACATAATCAGAATATTTATTTATGCTGGAGGAGGAATCCAATGAGCCATGAAGCTCTTTTTCGCAGATGTTCAGTAGGGGTGGGTCAGTACGCTACAACAACGACAGACAATATAAAAAAAAAACATGATAGGAGTGCAAAGTATAGGGAGGATCGCCGGATGAGGCTGGCTGTAATTATCGGTGAAACGTTCAAAGTCCAGTATATCCTGGTGGAAGCGCTCGCCTTGCTCCCATGTTCTCCTTGAATTTATCAAGATGAGCATCAAGGATATGGACTTTGAGGGACATCCTACAGCCCATTGTGCCGTAGTTCTTCACCAGATTAATTCTCAACCAGCTCCATGTAGTTTTCGACCTTGTGATTTCCTAGGTAAGCCACGAACCACTGCGACAAAGCTGTTCCAAGCCACTTTCTCCTTACTAGTGAGCTTCTTGGGGAATTCATTGCGCTCCAGGATCTTCTTTTTATGTGGTCCGACGAAGACACCGGCTTTGACCTTTGCCTCAGACAGCTTCGGGAAGAAGTCTTGAAGGTACTTGAAGGCTGCCGACTCCTTATCTACAGCTCTGACAAATTGTTTCATAAGGCCCAATTTGATGTGCAGTCGTGGCATCAGCACCTTCCGGGAGTCTACCAGTGGCTTCCACTTGACGTTGTTCCTCCCCACAGAGAACTCGGTCTGCTGTGGCCAGTCCTGCCTATGGTAGTGCGCCTTGGTATCCCTGCTGTCCCAAAGGCAAAGATAGCAGGGAAACTTGGTAAAACCGCCTAGGAGACCCATCAGGAATTCCACCATTTTGAAGTCTCCGATGACCTCCCAGCCATACTCATCATACTTCAAGGCGTCCAGCAAGGTCTTGATGCTGTTTTAATCCTCTTTGAGGTGCACCGAGTGAGCCAGGGGAAGAGACGGGTACTTGTTACCATTATGTAGCAGCACGGCTTTGAGGCTCCTAGATGAGCTGTCAATGAAGAGGCGCTACTCAGTCTGGTTACAGGCGATTCCGATTGCCTCGAACAGACTGGTCACATTGTGGCAGAAGCAGAGCCCATCTTGACGGGTGAAGAAGCTGCAAAAAGGTTGGTGACGCTTCCTCTGATCTGCGACTTGCACACTTTCATCTAACAAGTTCCACTGCTTGAGCCTAGACGTCAAAAGCTCGGCATTGGGCTTGGTGAGATCAAGATCTCTAATCAAGTCGTTGAGGTCTTTTTGGTTGGGGTAGTATGGGTTTCTCTCATCAGCTCCACCTCTGAAATTGTCATCTGGATCTACGACTTCCTCGCTCTCTGACTTGCTACCCTCTTCTAAAGACGGCTGCTCTCTCTCCGGAGGAGTGGGTACGGGGAGCTCATGGCAGTGTGGCACCGGGGCAATGGATAAAGGAAGGTCCGGATACGTGATAGCAGGTGCATTCTTTCCACTAAGTGGTCAGTGGGTGACCCCCAAATTCTTGGGATAGCGAACTTCATTGCTCTCTTTCCCCGTCTGTACCATCCTACAAAATACATTTATTTCACGCATGACTAATGTGTAAGAGATTCTTGCAACAGTTTTCATACATGATATATTTTTTCAATAACATTGAAAATTGTAAAACGTTTTAAAATTAAAAACTTTAACAATAAAAAAAATTGTAACTAATTTTATAACATTCTGAGCAACAATTGTACATCTTACCTTCCAGAGTTTTTTTGCATTGCTCGCAGGTGAAATAAGGTGCCCAGGGTTTGTCTTGATCCCTGACAGGCATGCCAAAATATTCCTTGTAGGCCTCACACATCTTAGCAGCTGCTTACACAGAGTACTTTTTCGCTCTTGTCTTGATAAATTGGTCGCAGACAATGCAAAATGCGTCTGCCGGATGATTGCAGCCTCTTGATGCCATCTCAGAAGAATGCATATATGTATCCACTTAGGCAACTGGAACTAAACTGAACTGGTGGACTTAAGGCCCCTGTATTTATACTAAAATATTTATATTACTGGAAAGTTCTAGAATGTTCTAGAAGTTACTCCAAGTTTACTCAGCACTGAATCTATCTGGAATGTTCTGGAAAATAGGTAGATTTCAAAATACCAATGTCCAGGTCACAAAAGCAAAGTTTGTGGGGAATAATAGCCATTTCGTGTACTTTTGAGGCATAAGCAATTAGGAAATAACGCTTACTACCCAGGAACAAAAAAAAATTGTTACACAGTGTTATTTTTAGCGTCTTTCAATTTGCCGCTTCGACCTTCTGAATGCCTTTAAATTTGCCTCCGGGACCTTTTCAGGCCTATTTACACCAACGGTGCCCTTTCCAAAGCAGGCTAATTTGGCGCTTAGTCTTTGGCACCTCCGCCCATCGTACAGAAGTCTTTGAATAAAAATGTTTTTAAGTCCATTTGGGAGGACGTCGGGTGGCTCTGAGATTATGAGAATTTGACCCGAATCGCTAAAAAAAATTGATCCTGGCTTCGAATCTGGGTTTCGGCCACGCTCTGGTTAAACCAGGTGTTCTGAAATGTCGTGAGTTGTTAGGCTCAGCCAATCACAACTGACTGGACTTAAACAACAACAACAACAACAAAAAAACCCAGAAAATTTATTTTGGCCACAACCCCAAAAAAAATGCAAGCACTTGAGAATTTTAAAAATGTAATTCTATTCTGACTGGCATGCAATGAACAGCTGTGTATAGCCAGGTCAAATGAGAGACTGCAGGGCACAGTGTGGATAAGAGGCCACTCGAAGTGAACTCAGGACTATTTCTGTGATATCCAAGTCCACGGGTCATTCTCTAACGCAGGGTAATTCTCTGCTCTGCGTGATATCCGAATTTGTAGATATTTAAAATGGGTAGACTGTCCTACAAAGGACACCGCTTAACGCAACCACAATTATACCCAACCTCACTGTCAGGCCTGCTAATGATCAGATATAGACACTCAAGATGTGGATCATGGCTGATGTGTAACGATGACGCCAATACTAAATTGACCCTCATCCCCTCGAATTGACCCTGACACGGACTCCCTCTACGCTCCCTCTCCCATTTCCACCCCCCCCCAATCCCCCGAGCTGAGCGGAGATCATTATTTGGTTGGTCATACTCTGTAAACTTCAAGCCTCATCTCCGCCACCTTCATCGCCACCTGTGTAATACAAAAATAAATCACACAGTCACACGACTGTAACAGGAGCTCTGTATAGAGCAGTGAACCTTCGGCCAAATCGGAGGCATTGCCTTGGCTGTTGTAGTCAACGTTGTTTGTGGTTTTTGTTTTTGTGCCATTTATTCATTTGTTTATTTATTCATTTTTGATTTTGTTTGGTGGTAGGGGTTTTCATTTGCTTGGTACGTGTGTGTGTGTTGGGAGTGGATGTGCAGCGGTTAGCGCTACGCTGCGCTACGAACCTGGCGACCCGAGTTCGATTCACGCTCACGGCCAACACCATTGACGATTATCTGAACCGGTCCTGGGCCTCCCCTAGGTCGACTCAGCCTCAAATGAGTATCTGGTGCGGTGTGTAAACATCGCCACTGGGGAGACAAAGGCGACCGGGCGTGGTGCTGGCCACCCACCCCCTCGTGTGCCATGCCTGCCATCATAGGTGCTTGCTAACAGCACTTGCCCCAACAGTCTGTTAAGGCTACACGGGGTATCTTTGTCTTTGTTGGGCTTCTTTCGTGTCGTACGTAGCCAACCGCGTACGGCACGAATTTGTTCCTCGTTGTGGGATGCTGATGGCATGAATAATGCTATGAAATAATAATTCTTGTTGATGTAGAGCCACTCGTTTTTAAGGTCGCGGGTACATTTTAACGTATGCAAAGATACAAATAAAAGTTACAGGAAATGGAAGAGAGAAGACAAATCATGGGAAATGAGAGGATGGAAAAGGAGGGGTCAGGAAAGGTCAGGAGAGGGCAGCAGGAGAGGCTCCATCAGGGACTCGATGGTGCTGCTGCTGCTGCACAGAGCGGAGTCTGTTTTCACAGTGGGCGGGGTGCGGGGATGGTTTCATAGTGGGCGTGGTGGCCACTCAGTAGTCATGTGAGAAGTATAGATGAGAGGGTAGGGATACAGAGTGGGGGTGGCCATGCAGAAATGTATGTATGTACGTTGAATTTCTTTCGCGCTGTACGTAGCCAACCATGCAATCGGAGGTACGGAAATCACGTGATGTACGGCAGGCTTGGGCTGATTTAGATCGAGGCAGATGGAGACGTATAGCTGAGAGGGGAGGGATTCAGAGGTGGCGTGGCCACACACAAGTCACGTGACTCGCAGGAGGCTGGAGCTGATTAAGAGAGTGAGAGAGACGATCAATCTTCTTGGTTCTTTCGGTAAAGGCACGTAGAAGGGAAGTCATAAAATAATAAAAATAAAACATAATAAAATAATTCTCACGACGTTTCGGCCACAACGCAAGCAGCCGTCCTCAGGTGAAGACCAGGTCTGTCGGGGAGACAGCGTCTGAATGACGCTTATTTACTATGTTTTATTTTTATTAATTTATTACTTCCCTTCTACGTGACTTTACCGAAAGAACCAAGAAGATAAATCCCTGCAGTCACGAAAGCTTTAAATCGAGAGACGATCAAACCGAGGTGAAACATTCCGTCTGCTGACGACGATGCCTAAACAAGGCCGCCCTGACGCTCGTACCTCCCCGCCCCGCGCGCTATGCAGGCTCCTCTCTCGCCACCCCTCGGAGCCGAGCTATGCTCGTCTTGCTCGCGCTCTGCGAACTCCGAGCCTCTTCACCGCCGCCGTTCCTCCGCTCCTCCATGGGTGCCGGCGACGCCTTCACGGCCTTCCCGGCCGGCCTCCACCACGGCGGGGCCTCCGCCTCGGCCCAATCCGTCGGCGGCGCCGGCGGCGTCGGCATCATCGGCGCGGGCGGCGGGCCGCATCCCGTGCCGTCGCTCACCCTGGAGCAGAAGGCGGCGTTCTGCTGCGTGGCGCTGCTGCTCGTTTTCCTCGGCGTGCTCATTGTGCGCTGCTTCCGGATCCTGCTGGACCCCTACAACAGCATGCCCTCGTCCACGTGGACGGACGGCATCGATGGCCTCGAGAAGGGCCAGTTCGAGTACGCGCTCGCCTGACCGCCACCGCTGACGACGCCACCACCCCCACCGCCACCCCCAACGTCGTCGCCTCCTCCTGCTCCGCCGCCTTTCGACGAGTATAGTTTAACAATAAAAAGAGACGAGACAGAAGGCAGTAGTCCCTCGGTTGACGTTGTTTTTTAAAATCCGGTCCACGAAAACTACCATGAACCGAAATAACCGTTCATCGAATTCACTTATAAGTTGAAAAAAAAAGTTTCATAGAAATCGGCGAGTCTGCAAAAGAGCTGATTTTGCGCTGCCCAAAGCAGAAAACGTAATGCACAACAAAGCCAATGCGGTGTCTAGACGCTCACGAACGGGCGTCGATGATTGGCCGAGGGCGCGGCCCGGCCCCGCTTACGAGCGCTTGGATTGGCCGATATTGGCGCCCCACGTGCATGACGTTTCGCCTCCCATGGGCTCCTATGGAAGGCGAAAAGTGAAACGAAAAACCGTTTACCGAGGTCATTGTTAACCGAGGGACTGCTGTATAGGGTAAATGCAGGCCTTCATTTATCACAGATTTTTTTTCCAGATCGATGCGAGGCTGCCGTGTAGTAGGAACTTTCCGCACTACCACTTGAGTACAAGGTAGACCTATGCACGGTAATCCGGCATTATTCTCACCCAGCCGTCGTTAAGGGCATCTGGTGACCCAAACCACTTCACTATTCACGCACGGTTATTTGCACAGCACAGCACACACACCACACACACACATACACCGCACACAACAACAACAACAACCGCCATTCGCCACTAAGTGGCGGTGATGTCACCACGACGCTTGTGCCAGGCCATGTGCACCTTGAGGCCACGTGAAGTGTCGAATGCCCGCTGGCAGGAGGTCACGGGGCAGACCCAGGTGCCACACCATTGCAGACACACGCACGTACACACCACCGCACAGTCACATAGACCACACACACGCACACCATTGCACACACACATACACCACCACACACATTCACCACACACACCACTGCACACACACACACACAAAGACAAAGATCCCCCGTGTAACCTGAACAGACTGTTGGGGCAAGTGCTGTTAGCGAGCATCTCTGAAGGCTGGAACAGCACAGGAGGGTACGTGGGTGGCCAACACCACGCCCGACCGCCTTTGTCTCCCTAGTGGCGATGTTTACACACCGCACCAGGTACTCATTTGAGGCTGAGTCGACCTAGGGGAGGCCCAGGACCGGCTCAAATAATCGTCACCGGTGTTGGCCGTGAGCGGGAATTCAACCCGGGTCGCCGGGTTCGTAGCGCGGCGTAGCGCTAACCGCTGCGCCACCGCTCCCCACACGCACACGCGCGTGACCGCAGCACTGATGAGAGACGCACTTGCCGCGCCAACAACCAAACAATTCCTCGACCAGCTTTTGCACGACTGTTCCGACTGCAGTGGCAGAGCGCTCACCACGTGGATCGTGAGCGGTGTCCGACGCTCCGTGTGAAGCCCACACCCCACCGTGCTGATGGGCAAAGAACAACGCGGTGGGGGGGGGGGGTAGGGGGCGGGGGGGGGGGGGTCAGGGGCCTGCGCCGTGCCCAACCTCCGCCTCGTCGTAGCCCCTGGGCCCCCCCTCTCTCGGCCCCCTCTGGACCCCACCAGAGCGTTGGGGAACCTCTGGCCTCGCCTCCATCTCGGGCCCACGGTCCCCTGCGTACCGCCCTGCACGGCCCTCGTGCCGGGGCGGTGGGGGGGTCTTCGCAAAGCGGACCAAGGGCCTCTTCCCCGCGGGCCCGGTGGCCTGGCACGGGCCTGGTTGGCGTTGTCGCGGTTGGCACGGGCGGTGGGTGGGGTGGAGGGTCGCGGGGTGGGGGGGGGGGCGTCCGGGTGGAGGGGCAGACTGGGTAAAGGTTCAGGGCCCCCCGGTGGCTCAAGGGGCTCTGAAGACGGAACAGGGGGTGCACTGCATCTCGCTCCCCGTTTCGTTCAAATCATCTCACGGATCCCTCTGTCTCGTTGCTTCTCTCTTATTCTCTTTTCGCTACCCACTACGACATCTAAATTACCTCCCTCTCGCTGTTTATATATCTCCATCCCTTTGTCTAAATCTCTCAAGTCGTCTCGAAAGGGGGGCCTATCCCCCCCGTCCCCCAATTGTATTATTATTTATTTCTGCTTTAGGGCTACTAATGGGCCGTCACCTCCAGTGGAATATTTCGTTGGAAGTAGACAATGGCATTATGATATCTCACGACACTAGGATGGGAGAGAACCACTTGCGAATTGCATTGCCTCGCGCGGCGCATTGCTTATCACAATTGTTGCAACGCAGCTGACAAATGCCGATGTCACGTGCGTGCGCGTGGACCCGTTGAACGTCATTTCGCACCGGAACGTAGCCAACCGTGCTCATCGGAAAACACTTACAGATTTCTCTGGACAGCTACCTCAACAGGAGGGCGAATCCTAGAGGGAGGAGCGGGGGGGGGGGGGGACCAGGGAGAGGTGACCCAGCCTCTAAGTTCTTCTGCCCAGTTCCAGTCCACTATCCCCTCTGCGGCCAGGTAGGCCTGGTCCTTCTGGCCCTGTAGGGCGCCACGGTGGCTAGGAGATGTTAACGACCTCGCCTGGTATACAGGAGGTCGTGGGTTCGATCCCGAGCCTTGACGCCTGTTGCTGTATATTTGTAGTTTTGCGTGTCTCTCTCTCCGTGGTCACGTGAATTTTTCTCCTGGTCCTCCGGTTTTCCCCTCCACATTTATGATCAACATCACGCGTTTAGAGTATTTGGCTGCTGTAAATGTCAACGCGATGCTAAGCCACGTTGTTGAGCGATCATTTGTTGCCAAGTCGCTTCTGGCAAAAAGAGCTACATAGCTTCAGCGGGCCTTACCTGGTCAAAAAAAAAAACAAATTGTTGAAAGCATGGGTGCAGCAGCCGTTATCGCCTGCAACCTCGATATAGCCATTTGACGGCGCTGGCACGCGGCATATCTCCGCGACGCGCGCCTCCTGACGCGCCTCGCCTGCCGATAAAAGACCGGCAGCAGGGCGACTTCTTGACAATCATGGGCAGAAAACAAAAAGTCGCCCGGCGAAGCCGCTTGTGAAGCATCAAATCGAGCTCGCCGTCGCGCACGCCCGGTGCGCTGAAGCAGGAGCCGATCGGCGTGTTTTGTTCCCGTGGCAAACCTTACGAGTTTGTCTGTTGTCGGGTGGATGGGTGGTGGTGGTGGCTTAACGACGCACTTACGCGACCTCTAACCCTAAAGTGAAAACCTTTCAATCTTGATGTGAAGCTTTCGTGACTGCAGGAATCCATACTCTTTGGTTCTTTCGGTTAAGTCATGTGGGTAGAAAATAAAATAAATCACGACGTTTCGGGCGCAACACAAGTCGTCCGTCATCGCTTTCCCATCTGATGACGGACGCTTGTGTTGCGCCCGAAACGTCGTGATTTATTTATTTTATACCTACGTGACTTCACCGAAAGAACCAAAGAGTATAGACTGTTCTGACTTCAACCTCTCTGACCAGGGCCGGATCAAGGCGTGGGGGCTTTAAGGGCTGCAAGCCCAGGGGGTCTTCGCCAGCTGGATATCCTCCAGAGATTAAGTGAAAATTATTTAGTTTGTTTTGGTTCTTTCGGTAAAGTCACGTAGAGGGGAAATAATAAAATAAAAAATATATAAAACAATAAAAATTCTCACGACGTTTCGACTGCAACACAAGTAATCGTCAACAGCTGTGGATTATCAGTAAAGTCACGTAGAGGGGAATTAATAAAACATTAAATATATAAACCACAGCTGATGATGACTGCTTGTGTTGCAGTCGAAACGTCGTGAGAATTTTTATTCGTTACGAATCGCCTCGCCTTTTCACCGTGGTACGTGTGCAAAGCGTGGCACGGAACGTGCGCTGCGTGCGCGCCGCACCTGCCGACGTTTCGATCGGCTCGCGTGGCCGCTGGCAGCAACTGGGTTTGCGGCGGTTTTGGTGCATCGCTCTTGGGGGTGCAGTGGGCACTTGGGGGGGGGGAGTGGGTACGGGGAATTGACATACTTCACCACGTTATAATTGTTTTTTTTTACCCTTCTATCTGGCAACAAAACTGGGACCTTTTTTTACAAGGAGTCATGTTTGCATAGACCACAATACCTGCAGTCATAATGCAAACAAAAAACACAACTCTGATAATGTATGCACTGTCCTTGAAGTTGATTGGTCGACACCCGAGACAGCTTTCCTTAGAGCCTAGTCTCACACGGTGTTGGACCAGATGGCGCCAAAAGGCGCACAACTCAAAGACAATGCACCATCAGAGTATGAGAGCTCATATTTTTTACTGGCAAATGAGGTTCATCACGTGAGTCAAGAGAGCACGTGTCGTCGATTACCTACCCGGTATGGTTGCAGCCCCTGATCCAGTGCAGCCGCTCGAGTCTACGTTCTCCTCCTGTGTGTCTTGCCAAGAGGCATCTCGCCCCAAAGGGACAAAGTGATCTACTGCTCACATGAGCATCGATGCAATGTGTTCTCAATTCTCGTTAACAAATCCTGAGCCCGTGGTGGAAATTCCACGTCTCTATGGCGGGGGAGAAACAGGACAGAACCGATGCCGGCCACCACCCCACAAAGTGGAGATTGTTTCCAATGAGCTCCAAGTGGATTACTCGGCTGTCAACCTCCAACCGGGATTTGAACCTACAACCCTTCCGATTGCATGGAGGAGGAGGGGTGGGGGGGGGGGCGGTCGCTCGCTCTACTGCCAAAACCATCTGGCCTCCGATAAGGATAAGAAGTACAGAGGCAAAAAGAGGCACGTAGTTCTTGTCGTTCGGGGAACATTGCTTAGCTTCAACGTGACAGGCTATTCACCGTAGTCAGCCAGCGCTGACCGGGCCCAGCGGCTCACCGGGCCCAGCGGGTTTGCCGAGTCGAGCGGCATTCGGCGTTCTCTCGGCCTGGTACCCCAACACGCGGCGCCGGCCCCAACACAGCAGCCCGAGCAGCATCACCTCTCCCCCTCGCTTTGAGACCCTGAAAATTGTCATTTTATTAATATTGACCACAGGACATGCAGTTTATGAGTTTAACACGTTGGCTTTCGCGACCAATATCATCCATGATGGAGGTTTTTTGGGTTAGATCGCGTAAGTATATACCACCCGACACAGCCAACTAGTATTATGGATGCAGTATATGAAATGTATTCATGTAATGCCCTATTTGAACCTCATGGCGGGACCCCGGGGTCCCGAATAAACGGAAGTCAAAATCGTAATTAATTTATTTGTTTTTGGCGACTCCGTCCCACCGCGCACACAAACGCCGCGACCCGCCTGGCGCGGATCGTTCCGTTGTCGTGTCGCGTCCAAACGCAGCGGCGAGGACGAATGCGCAGAAGAAACAAAACTTCGAAACTTTGTTTGTGAGCATCGGGTAGAGCTGGTCGAGAGGGACAGATCGCCGTGTCGTTCGCCTTCGACGGACATCAAATGACGTCGCAATACAGTTTATGCGAGAGCCGGGGGCTTATGGGACCCCGTGTTGCCGCCATGAGGTTCATTTGGCGGAATATGAACTACCATAACTACCTCGCGTGGTACGCAGGAGGTCGTGGGTTCGATCCCAACCCTGACGCCCGCTGTATATGCGGAGTTTGCGCGTCTCTTTCTCTCCCCATGGCCACGTGGATTTTTTTTTACTTCCGGTTTTCCCTCTCAATCTCGAAACACATTTGGGCCGCCATGAATTTCCACGCGATGATAACAAGACACTTTGCTGAGCCGTCGCTTCTGAAAAAGAGCTCACGTTGCTTGGTGGGGGGGGGGGGCTTGCCTGGGTAACAATAACATAAACATTGTAAAAATAGGTAGATATTATACTTGCGGATCACCTGCCTTATCTTTTCGGGAAGTTTTTAAGATCACTTGTACAGCGCTCAATGAAAGCCACCGTACAACGTATATATATAATTATTCTTGGTTGTTTCGGTAAAGTCACGTAGTAGGGATTTTTTTTTATTGTATTATATTTTTATTATTTTATTATCTTCCTTCTACGTGACTTTACCGAAAGAACCAAGAATATGAATCCCTGCAGTCACGAAAGCTTTAAATCAAAATATATATTATTGTTAATTGTTATTTAAAGCCATGTGGCACGCCACCTTTGGCAGGAAAAGCATGGGAGTGACGTGAAGCACGTGACATTATTTATTGTGACGTCACACTCGGATCATCAGGTGAGGCCCATTGGAGCTACGTAGCTCCTTTTCAGCAGTGACCTGTCAATCACAAATGATAGCTCAACAAAGTGGCTGATCGCGTGGATATTTATAGCAGCCAAATACTCTAAACGTGGAGGAAACAACGGGAGGACCCGGAGAAAAATCCACACGACCACGTGGAGAGATAGAGAGAGACACGCAAACTCCAAATATACAGCAGCAGGCGTCAGGGTCTGGATCGAACCCACGAACTTCTGTATATCAGACGATGTAGTTGACGTGT